CCGTTTTGGACAGAAATGGGCCCCCCCCCCCCCCCCAAGAATATGTTCAAGTGGCTACTTTTTTGATATCTTAGGAAAATAGTTAAAGGTCCTCTATTATGAAGAGTTGCTTCCATTTTTACTGGCTATTTAGGGCATTTAGAGTCTGAAAAATAGTGGAATTGAAGACTATATTATTTTGTAGATTATTTTAGGCATATAGTGTAAAACCTAATTAAGGAATACAAAGTTTGATGAGGAGTCTTAAAATTCTGTAATGAGAATATATCTGTAGGTGGCTAAATGAACAGACTCATGAGTATAAGCATTAGAAATTTCAGTATTTAAGGACAGTGAAGAGCTTTGAGATCAACTAATGGAAAGTGTGGTATTTATATGGTGGTAGTATATTTTAGAAGTTTCTTCAGTCAGGCTATCTGAATATATATGTATAATACTTTTCAAAATATATTTTATAAAATTTAAAAGCACAATAATTACATTAATTTCTTTGGAGAAATTAAAAAAATTAATAAAATGAAGGAAAGTTGGAGTGATTTAAGAATGATAAATTAAGAGAATTGTGTTTGTTGTATAAAACAAAAAAAATCCTATCGTTTAGAAAGAGAGAGGAAGCTTATATGCAAAGCCTTCATGTCTGATGGTTCTTGTAATAAACATTTTTTCTGTCTTTAGTCAGCAGATAAACAGCGGGCCCTAGAAGAAACCAAAGCCTACACTACCCAGTCCTTAGCAAGTGTAGCCTATCTGATCAACACCTTGGCTAACAATGTTCTCCAAATGCTGGATATTCAGGCATCCCAGCTGCGGCGTATGGAATCTTCAATCAACCATATTTCACAAGTGAGACTGTTTTTACTTTTTACTTGCATTGTACAATGTGTTACTGAAATCGTACAGCCAGTACTCTTAAGGGTTATGATGTTATCCTGTATGGTAGAGATAGGAAAAGACAGTTTTCCTAAAATCAGTGGGGAATCTTTCTGCATTCAACTCTTCTGTTTTTACCAGAATGTTGTCGCTCATGGCACATGTTTATCATGTGGCATAATAAACATCAAAAGGCACAACATTAAAAGGTTTTAAAGTGGTCAGTAGGTAATAATACTTTATTAATATGGAGAAATCACTGCAGAAAACAGCACAGTTAAATATGAGGCAACCATATAAAGGATAGCATGTGTGTTTAAAGTAGATGAATATAATAATTTTCACATGCTTTCATTTCAGGGCATATAGAGATTAAACTATAAATCATACAATTCAATTATGGAAAAAAAAGTGAAAGCTATTTTACTTATCTACCAAATGAAGTTCAGCAGTTGATGTCGAAAAGAATTTGCACTAGAGCATACACTTGTACAGCGGTGGCCAGCCTGCTGCACAGATGCCACAAGTGATGCAGGCAGCCTGTATGTGTAGTACTCAGCAGATTGAGGAGAGGACGTGCAACACAGTGGCAGACAAGGCAGGGAGTAGAAAGCAAAGGAACAAATAGGCCAGGAGCACAGGGAAAGAAGCAGCAGATCAGGCAGAAAGGACAGGGCTTGGGAGCAGAAAGTACAGCAGCAAATTGGGCAGTAGAAGGGGATTGGAGTGGCAATTGGGGAGGGTGTGGAGCTAACTTGTGGCATGCCTGCCAAAAAGGCTGGCCCCCCTCTGCTCCTGTGCAAACAATCCAGCTTTAGGTGCTTACATTTGTTCTTTCAGGCTTCCACACATCCTGTGCATATCTGACTGCACATAGCATTTTAGGACAGTATTTACAAAAGAAACTCAATTGGGTCTTGGTTATAAGATGGTATAAAGATCATGAGGGTCTATGCAGAAGCAGACAAATCTGGGACCAGCCTGCTTTCATAGAAGTACAGGTTTTCCTTGCTTTATGTTGTACGTATGTTCCTGGAAAATAATGCATAACTCAAATTCACATAAAGGGAACCCACTTTACAATGTAACAAATGGGGATGCATTCCAAGACCTCGACTGTACTGACCCTCACACCCATTTCTACCACTTTTACAAGACAATTTTGATACTCGCCAATAGCAGACAGTACACACAAGCACAGGGCACTAACATAATGGGGATGGCAACTATAGAAACACATCACAGATAATGAGCAAGGAACACGGATCCACGCAGGAGACTATATCTTGGTGTGCGTAACTCCCACAATGCACCGCACAAAGCAGCTGACTGCGGGCTTCCACCACACCGATCACATAAGAGTGAATTTACCTTGCATGTGAATGTTTTGTATAAAAAGGGTCATCGCGTAAGTGAATTCACACATACAGAACCCGCATAAAGCGAGGAAAACCTGTATAGTCAAAGAGAGGTCTTGCTTGGTAAAGACATCAGTTGGATAACTTACTTAAATGTTTATATTTTGTTAATCTTTGAAATAGTTTCATCTCATTTTGAAAGATTGAAAGTTGGACTTCATAGTAACGAGAACAAAATGATTTAGATGCTATGATTAAGCAGGGCTTGAGAAATCCACTTTCCCAGGTGAGTGGTATAGACTTCTACAGCTTGCCAACTTCCATTTAAAAAAAAAAAAAAGGCTTTTCATGCTTGTTGTTGTGAAGATGACCTTACAAAAGCAAACAGGAGGTGAACTGATGCAGTATTTTCTTAAGCCTACAGGTAGCTTTGAGCCTTAGCCACTGCTTGCTGCTTTAAGCTCCACTAGAGGAAACAGACTATTCAGAACACTGGCAGTTATGGGGAGGCTGGAAGGAATGCTGATCCCACCTTGCAACTGCCTTGAGCAAGGTGAAGGAATAATACTCTAGTAGAAATCCTGGCACTTTTGGCATCCCAGTAACTGGGAGGAGGTGGTTGTCATTGCACCTGGCCATTTCTGCTGGACAGTGATAAGCACTATGTTTTGTATCAGTATTTCTCACCCTAGTTTAGGAAGCTTTTATTCCTCTGGCTAGTACATGGCAAATTGCTTATAATTCAGACAAAGCACTTTAAGATGGAGAGTCTGGAATCCATTTCTTCTACAGTTAGCATCAATCACTTACTTTTAAGTTACCATATTTCTTTAAAACAAAACGCTGTGCATTTACCTCACCAGAGAGGTGAATCTTAGGCCCCTGGCACACGTTTATTTAAAGGTGCCTTGGGATCTGATCCCCAATCCCAACAAATACACTTCCTGCCGTACCATATGTGCCTGTCAGGAGGTGTGATTTTTGGGGGGGATTGGGAATCAGATCCCGAATGTTGCCTTGCTTACCAGTGCAGGGGGAACCCAGGATCATGATCTTGGACTCCCCCAGTACTGGCAAAAGTCAAGTGCCTGCAGGTTTGTGACTGGTTCTGGTTCCCCGTGTGGTTCTAGGCCTGGAGCTGGCAATCAGCTGATAGTTGGCCCTGGCCCCAAACCTGCCACACATTAACATTTTAAGGCGCCATACAAACCAGCCGTAAAAGGTTCTACGTTATATGTAGAACAATTTTATGGCTGGTTTGCCATTCTTTGGCACCTTAAATTTGGTGCACATGTAGCACTCTTGCCAATTATGCCATGATTAACACATTAACCATGGCATAAATGTAACGTGTAGAGGGGGCCTCAGTCATTAAATATGCAAAGACCTTGTGATTCTGACATTACATAAAAAGCACTCTATAAGTAGAAATGATTTCCATTCTTATTGCATCAGATTTATGTATTGTATCTGTGAAAATCTCATTTTGTCACATAGCTTGTATAAAGCTCTTTTAGGAGTGCCATCACATTTCTAATTTTCTGTTTCTTTCTGAGAATGTGACATAAGTACTGATTGAAATATGAGTTTAATTTGTCTTCACTGGTGCAGTTGCTATTTCAAATTGCTAGTTGAAATGGAGTGCTAAATTGCCAGTGCTAAACAGCCAACGGAAATATATCTGCCAAGATTCAGAATGCTATACTTGTACAACAAAGCATAACTAAAAATATTTTTCAGGGTTTTTGGTATCCTTTTAAATTTCTATAAAAATATGTGATCTTTTTATTGGAGACTTGATCTTTTCAAATGCATGATGCTTTCAGTTCTTTCACTGGAAATGCTGATATCATACGAGTGATGTTTTATCTAGGGAAATTAGTAGCCTGGCAGAGCAATCTGTTTGAGGATATCAGCAGTCCTTCTCTTAAAAACATCCCCAGTTTCCATTAATTTGCCATGGATGCAGTCATCTGAAAAGTAGAATTTTAAATTAATATTTAAAATTCTTTTTTATAAAGGCCCACTTATTATATGCCATTTGAGTTTCAGCATTTAAAGTTAAGTTTATGGATTTAATCCAGCAGTATTAGTTTGTAGGTGCCAGTGTTGGCTTCCAAATAGAATTTAATTTCTAGGTATTTGGAAATGAAATTTGACTTTACTTCCTGGACCATATCTTTGGTTTGGAGAATTTCCATCTAGGAGTTTTGATTATGCTTCTTATGACGGGGCAAGTGTCTTGGAAGGTTTAAAAAACCCAAACAAACTCTGAACTGTCGTAGACTTATGTAATGGTTATTTTTTTGCTTACCTAACGTAAAAATTCCATACCATTTCTAGTGCTAGTCGGAAGACTCTACTAAATCCAGAATTGTACTATTCAGTCTCACCTACGTTATCAGCTTCATTTCAGAATGGGCGAAGACCGTGACTTCCTTCAGCTCACATTTGACTGTACAGTATTACAGTAATTAGCATGTTGGTCTTTTGGTACTGGCACATGTCTAGAAAACAGCGTGGTGCAAAAACAGATGAAGGGATACAGAACTTTTAATTCTGAACAAGAAGAACTGAATCCTCGACATCACGTTGTTCAGAATCAAGCTCTCTCCAGGGCAGAGCAGTCAGTTATGTGTTGCTTTTTTTGTTAAAAAGAACTTTTTAAAAATTATTTGTTGAAACTCATAGTTGGAGATGTTAATTTTTTAAATGAGATTTTGTAGTTCTAAATGGGAAATCCTGCAAACCTAATCTGACTGCTAACCCTGAAACTAGTGAAGTCATTTCAGTTTTTCAAGTTAATAGGTCACAAATCAGGAAAGCATTCCAAAGAAGGAAGCATTTAAGTATGTGCTTACATCGTATTGGATTCAAATTCAGCATATGCATCAGGGTTGTTCTGAATTGGCATGAACTTAACCATGTGCCCAAATTAATTGATGATTTACATAGGGTACCATATTTTCGGTTCCAAAAACGAGGACACCTGTCGGGGATGGGGGGAATGTGACTGGGGGAGGGAGGCAGTGATATGCCAGCACCCTGCCCCTGCCCATTTTGTTTCCCCTTACTCCCAAACCCGGATGTTTGGTCAAATTTGAAAAACTTGGCTGGGCAGAGATTGGAGGACTAAAAAGAGGACATGTCTGGGAAAACCCAGATGGGTAACTCTAGCTTACAGAAATCTTGTCTAAATATAATATTTGTTTTAACTGTTCAGATTCCCAAATCAGCTATCACTGACTTCTAAATACTCAAAAATATTATTGAAACCTGAGACTTACCAGATATATTTATTCAGAGATGATTTTTTTTCAAGTTCAGTATTAGTCTACTATATTTACTTACATACCATGCCTATCTTTACCCCTGAAATCAGCCCTTAAAAACTGTGGTGTGCATCTTAAGTGGGAAAGCTGATTTTCTGTGCTGGAGTAGAAGCATGGAGACGCTGTAAAATTGCTGCTTCCTCTGTCAGCCTCGGGGTCAGAGCTACAGTGTTAACCCTTTCACAGCTCTGCAAAATTGGCAGTAGCCTTTGGCTGAGTGATCGGCCAGTAGCTGCTGCCAATTCACCAGTGGCAGTTAACCTCTACCATGGCACCAGTGGCA